TTCATGCCTTCATCCAATGTGGGTTACTTTTGAGAGATTTATCGCCATCAAATGTACGTCGCACTACCCAAACAGTGTCACATAGGAAAATAACGATAGCACTGATTGCAGTTTGGATCATTGCCTTCGTGTGTAGAATGTCATCAATTGCTTACTCCAAAAGTAAATCACTGGGTTAACAAGCGCGTTTAAAATTTCCCTTTTTTCCACATTTGTTCCCTGATTAGGAAAATATCATGTCTTAAGCGCCCTGTTTTCTTTCCTTCATCTTTCCACTTCTTTTTGGTCGGTTCTTGTGCTTTTATCTTCCTTTGTTGCTGTTATGCGAAGTCGTCCACCGAACAAGAACAACTGGTTGTAAATGCTAAAAGTGTCCTCAACCAAATTCATTGGGAACTTTTCGGCTCCGTTCAAATCTTGCGCACGCTTTGTGTTTAGTCAATCGCTGAGATAAAGTAACGCTATGATGTAAAAAGGCCACAATAATTCTGGCCATGCATGCTTTAAATGGCATCTTGTGCGAAGGGGCAGGTGATAACAAAGTTATCTCGACATGAAGAGTTTCCAGATCTTATGCGATCATGATTGACACTATATTTCTTTTCTATATATCATAATGTGTTTAAAGGGACAGATAAGAACCTCCTGATGTGTTTTCAATCTTTGAAATAATGATAGAAAAAAAACCGACAACAAAAACCTCTGATAGGCTTAGTAAGGTAGTTTCTCAATTTTATGATGCAAAAATTTAACAACCGTCCTCAAGCGCGCTCAACATGTATTCTTATTTTTGTTTTTTTCAATCTCTTGCCCTATTTTACGAGATGTGTCGTGGAAGAAACAGGCGTTTGGCTCATGAACGTCATACAAAGTGTAAAGCTATGGCATCGAACATAAGATGGTTGTCAATTAAATTGATATTTTTAATGAAAATCTTTGTGAACAAACTTAAAGAAGAGAGCTTAAACTCGCAAATAATCTTGACAAAGAAAAGCGGATATGCAAATAACTGACTTTCTATTAAGCCCATAAAACCAAAGTGAGATGTCAAATAAACCAATAGCTAATATTTTTCTTCTAATATAGTTTTTAATTAGAACAAGAAGCCATGTAACCATAACTATCGATATGGTCGTGTAAGGCGAATCAATTTCCTAACGAGCAAGGTATGTGAAGAAACGAGTGGGCTATTACAAGTTACAGAGACCACTTAATCCATAGTGAACTGGAACGTGAATGGCTGTCAAGGGCCAACATTCTTTTGATATTTATCTTCTTGTGAGGCCATCATTGCTGCAACAAACCGGCTGCGCATTATGATAGATCTTCCTTCGCAACAACCTCGTTAATAGGAGACTAATATTCACCAATATTCCCCCAGCAACAAATTGGTCCAACACTACCAATTGCCTCGTTAGGCGACACATTTTTTTCCGTATACTTCCAAGTCAGTTGCTTTTAGCATACCCTCTGTCTGATAAAAATCGAACGATCGAATGATAAGATTTGATCAAATTTCATAGGCTGGGTATGGTACATAAATATGTATCCGTCAATTTGGAGCTTCAACATCCCCCTATCACAGCAATCTCCACAGGCATTTGGAGTTTTGAAGATTAGTTTGTTCCTGGGGCCTTACTCCAAGTGTTGGATTTAATAGTTAATTTTTGTAAAAGGCAATTGATAGTTAGTGCTATTTTTCTGTTTCGCTGTACCAGTGATTTATAGTTAACATTTTTAATTGTTTGATGCAACAACACAGGTGATTTGGGTTCATGAGAATGACAAGTGAATGTATGAACAAAATAATACAATAATTGTTTGTGCTAGCAGTAGTTAGTGGGTTTTAGCACTTGTGGTTCATATTTTAGGCATAAATGACTTTCCATCTTCACTAAGGTTTTAATCATTATGCTAAACTTTGCAGACCTTTTTCTGAGTTGCCCCAGGTTGAAAGGGGGATTTTAAAAGTTTGAATTTATTGGTGCATTACCTCTGTTCCTATCTGCTAGTTGTTTGGTGTTCATTTGTGCTACAGCATTTGCAGCAAATTCTGAAAAAAAGTAATAGTCAGTGATATCAATTCAATATCAAAAAGATGATTAAGGAAATCAAATAAAACATCAATTACAGCACAATTTGTTGATCAAATACAAAATTCTCCAACAAACCAAGATTGTTATTTTCCTGCATATAAATTACAACATATTTTGTAACAAAATGTGAGAAATATGCAGTCAGTAATAATAAAATGGACAACCATATTTGTGGCATATTACATAGAGCATTTAATCATTAGAAAGTTAATTTGCGATGTAATTAGAGAATTTTCCCTCTTCTTCTAAGTTGCCCCATTGTGAAGAAAGGATTTTAAAGTTTTGAATTTATTGGTGCAAATTACCTTTGTCTTGTGATCTCATTAATATTTGTTACAAATTCTGTACAAAAGTAATAGAAATATGTGGTCACTGATGTTGCAATTGACAACCATATTCATGTGGCTTATAACATAGTCCATTATTATCGTAAACATAGAAAAAGAGACACTTATATATGTATATGTATATGTCTAGTTATATCTGAGTGAAATCACCAAAACAGACCCAAAAAAACAACAAACTCAAAGTGAATATCGCAGAACGCACAGCTGACGCATGAAGCAATTGTTAATTATTGGCCCAAGTGACCGCTGAGAGCCAGAATTACGTGACAAGTGTAGTTAATAGAAGCTTCAAGTCATAGTCGCAAACCACTTGTTTTATAACATTTTCAGCCCGATGGAAAATTTGTTTTCTCGAGGGATTTGTTTGCTGACGTCATGAGCGCGCACAATAAGAATATGAAGCACGCTCGCGCAATTGAATTTGATTACACCATGATTATCCATGATGGTTGATTAAGGAAGCTAAGAAATGTGAACAGTTTTCGAGATTTTTTTTTAAGGAATGGAAATTAATTTCACGTCGAGAGAGATGCTTGTAGGCGAAATGTTGATAGGAAATCGTAGTGTTTCTTTCTTTTGTCGTTTGTTACTTTGGAGACTTACGAAAATCAGCAAATATGGCTTCTGTACGGCACAAAACATTCATTAGTCTACGATTTGTTACCGCTCATTTCAGGAGATTTTTAAGTCACATGCGGAGTTTTGGTTGACATACAAGTTCCCTGTGCAACAACTTCGGCTTTTACGGCCGCGAAATTCTGCCCTCTTGCTCGAGAGAAAATACCAATAGCTCTTTTACATTAAAAAACTGTGCTACTATTCCAGAGATAAAACTAAAATAGTGTTGTCGTTGACACTTACCGCCATCGAACACTTCAATGCAGAACTCCGCCAAAACTAACATGTGCATCACGATGTGCATCGTGACCCGAATACTTTTCGCTGTTCATGCTGTCTGCTAGACAAAAATTTCAGAATATTCTGAATGACTTCAAAATTTTCAGAGAAATTTCTTATTAAAAGCTTTTAAAATAACTGTGAGAACTGTTGCGGGCTAATTGGTCGAGAGCAAAAAGAATAAAAAATTTATCCAGCAAACTGATTACTACTATATGCGCTCTTTGAAGCAGACCGGAGTGGGGGAGGGAGGGAGGTTGGGGCAAGTACGTTGGGGTACGAATAAGCGATGTTCTTGATTCATAAGAAACATAACTCACAGAAAGGTTTCCGAACAAAACCGGCCAGAATCCATCTCTTTAATTTCCTTTTTTAAGCAGAGCGAAGTGGAGGAGGGAAGGGGTTTGGGACGAGTAGGTTGGGGTAGGAATGAGAATTCCTCATGCACTGATACTCATAGTTCAGGTATATTAACGTTCGGAATAATTAGTGTGATGTTAAACGCCCTTAGAAATAGCTAAAGAAGGAGACGAGAAGGACACCATATCAAGAAAACGTGACATGATCAAATCTTTTTTCGTGCATGCAATCACTTTTTCATGCCTCAAGAATGAAATTAATGTCATTTACATCAAATGAAGGCATGAAAAACTCGTTTGGCTCCCATAATACGATCATTTGACGCTATATCTAGTGATACATGTATTAGGATTACTATTTGACACTGGAATGCTGATCACCAGAACTTCATCGCCAGAATTTTTTTGATTGTAGGACGAGAATCAAGTCACATGGGTGGAGGAGAAACGATCACAGAAATGCATGCCTTAACAATGAACAACAGTGCTTTCTGTTTTACTCTGTAACCTGGTTAAAACAGACGCTCACGATATTTTCTAAGATTTCTCTTAAGCTGTCTTTTATTTTAGCGTCTTTGGAATTACTGCATAATCCCATAGGAAAGTTGCCCAAAAAAGAGGAGTGTATAAAAGTGTGGTAAAAACAAGAATATTTTTATTCCCAAGCCAACTTTCTGACAATAACCTGACTTGAAAACGATTAAATCACCATGAAAACATTACAACGTATCAAACATTACGATGCGTAAGTGACTTATTGAACCAGTTTCAAAATATTGCTGCCGTAACTTTTCCACTTTATAGTAATACAATTCTTGACTTTGATAGCTTTTTCCATGGTCCTATTTAGAAATCCATGTATTTTTCAGTCTTTTAAGCACTAAGAAGTGGTACTGGAAATGACCATAAGGAAAGGTTTCTTTTAAGACTTTTGGCAAAAATTAAGGATTCTGTGAACGAACCTGTAACAAAAAAATTAAAGGTTTTGAGAGAAAAACCTTTAAGACAACTGGCTCATTTTTGATGCTTAAACTACTGTTTCAACTTTCCTGATTTCACTTTACTTAAGAGTCCTTCGTCAATAACGTTTCGTGCTACTTAAATCGGCCGGATAAGATCATTTTTGCGCAGAATAAAATCTCTCTCGAATACGTTACCAATACCTCCTTCTGAGAAGATCGGAAAAGAAAACGCAAAAAAAAATTATAATTAATATGCTTAATTGAAGATTGCCCATTCTTTAATTACACAATAAAATAACGGATAGAGTATTTTCTTTACTCGTTCTATTTGTTCATCCATTAAAAGTCTCTAAGGTCTGTTTCCTTCGAGATATTCTCATCCTCTTTCCTACAACAAACGTAAAAAAAAAACAATTATAAATAAACAGTTATACCAGGCGCAATATATAGGCAAATGTGCATTTGTATCTGATTGGCAGAAAGGCGCTTTCTAGATTCTATATTTTACAGCTAACTGGGAGAATCAATTGTTACTATTTGAAAGAAACCAAAAAAAAAAATGGTATAAAACTAGCCTTGGTATTCATGGTGACAAAGGATTCCCGCCGACAGTCAGCGACCAGTAAGTCAAAGCCACCTTCACATCTAATTTAACTTTCATTTATGAAATACCTGTTCTGACCGAGTCTTACCTCTGCTTGTCAAACTCGAGCCTCACATCATCTCCAATCAGCGTAAACGAAGCCCACTCAGACATTTTTCTCGAGCCGTTTTTTCTCATCCACTTCATGGCCTGATGAAGGGATTCACTGGCACTTTCTCCTTCAACAAGGTGTTTGTAGAACCGATTCATCAGCTGCTCCGTTGCTAAGTCTGGAATGGCCCACAGCGCAACTAACACCGAGCGAGCACCAGATCCTAAGAACGCACGGGCAATTCCTATAACTCCCTCGGCTGTTATCTCACCTCTTCCACTGTGACAGCAGCTAAGTACCACCAGTTTAGCTCTGACTTTCACTCGTGAGACATCAGCCATCGTCAACATGTAAGCTTCCTGTGGTGGGATAGCATTTTGACTGTTGGGAATAGGAATGGGGGAGAGGGCAATTTCTCCTCTTTGGGCGTTGCCATGGGCAGCAAAATGTATCAGGCTCACTGAACCTATCCGCTCAAGCACCGCCTGCTTCGTTGCTTTCTCTTCTACCAGAGGCGGAACACGCATCAGTCGTCCAACCATCTCCGCTTCCCTTCTTGCACATGGCAATGACGGCAGCCAATTAACCTTGGGATTGCCTATTATCAAGGCACCAGTGTTGCTGTGATAGCCCTCTGGACTATCTTGAATAATCTTGAGTGTTGTCAAAGAAGGAATGACACGGATCTTATGAGTCTCCGAGAGGTATTCGGCTCCCTCCTTTTCACTCAGTGCAGCAAAGGGAACTTTGTACAAACTGCGGTCAGGAACGATGACGACTTCAGGCCCCTCAAGCAAATCATAAACGGGAGCAATAAACATTTTGTAACACAAAGATAGACTTGAAATGACTTTCTTCTCCTCTTCCTCCTCCACGAGTCGCAGTCTTGCTGAGCTCTTTTGTGCGGGGGAGAGAGGTTGCACTTTAATCGTATTTAAAGACCGATCTTCACAATCTTTAGTAGGCAAAATACCAAGACTCCGGAAATTATCATCCAAAAATTGACTCAAAGACAAATCTTTGGGCAACCCAGCCTGAACTAGATTCTCTTCTACTGATATTCTTCTATAGTGAAGGACTCCACTTGTTTTCAAGATCCACAAATGCAGAAGATTCTGAAAATAAGAAATGTACAGACAAGTACAGTTATTTTTCTTTCTTAAAATGTTCTCAATGCCAAACCAAGATTGTGGATTAGCAAAGATGTGCGTTTCAACCGAGTACTTCTCTGCCATTAAGTCTGATAGGCCTCTAGCTCGACCCAACTCCTCAACATAGAGAGCATCCCGAGCATTTCCGGTGTCACAGAGCAAAGTACAAAGCAGCTTGTAGGGAAATATTCCTGAGTGCTCCAGCAATGATGTTTTGAACTCATCATTGGCGCCCAAAAAATATCTCAGCTCCTCATACTTTTCAATGCACAGATGAAGACACGACAGAGAGTCTTTGATTTTATTTTGAATTAAATACAAAATGGCGTAGCCTCGAAGGATTTCGAACTCTCTTCTTCCAGCTCCAATATCTCTGGATATGAATAAAGCTTTCTCCAAACATACTTCCGAAGCTTCATAATCACCAACAGTTCTAGACACTCCTCCAAGGTTTGCAAGATGTACTGCTTCCCCTTCCTTATCACCAATTTCAGTTGTGATGACAAGCGCTTTTTGAAGATACTGTTTAGCCTTATCGTGTTGGCCAAGCGACTCAAACACAGTACCTAGGTTTCCATAACATGATGCTTTCCCTTTTCTGTCACCAATTTCAGTTGTGATGACAAGCGCTTTTTGGAGATACTCTTTAGCCTTGTCGTATTGGCCAAGCGACTTAAACACAGTACCTAGGTTTCCATAACATGATGCTTCCCCTTGTCTGTCGCCAATTTCAGTTCTGATGACAAGCGCTTTTTGGAGATACTCTTTAGCCTTGTCGTATTGGCCAAGCGACAGAAACACAGTACTTAGGTTTCCATAACATGATGCCTCCCCTTGTCTGTCGCCAATTTCAGTTGTGATGACAAGCGCTTTTTGGAGATACTCTTTAGCCTTGTCGTATTGGCCAAGCGACTCAAACACAGTACCTAGGTTTCCATAACATGATGCTTCCCCTTTTCTGTCGCCAATTTCAGTTGTGATGACAAGCGCTTTTTGGAGATACTCTTTAGCCTTGTCGTATTGGCCAAGCGACTTAAACACAGTACCTAGGTTTCCATAACATGATGCCTCCCCTTTTCTGTCGCCAATTTCAGTTCTGATGACAAGCGCTTTTTGGAGATACTCTTTAGCCTTGTCGTATTGGCCAAGCGACTCAAACACAGTACCTAGGTTTCCATAACATGATGCTTCCCCTTTTCTGTCGCCAATTTCAGTTGTGATGACAAGCGCTTTTTGGAGATACTCTTTAGCCTTGTCGTATTGGCCAAGCGACTCAAACACAGTACCTAGGTTTCCATAACATGATGCTTCCCCTCGTCTGTCGCCAATTTCAGTTGTGATGACAAGCGCTTTTTGGAGATACTCTTCAGCCTTGTCGTATTGGCCAAGCGACAGAAACACAGTACCTAGGTTTCCGTAGTCAGTTGCCTCCCCTTTTCTGTCGCCAATTTCAGTTCTGATGACAAGCGCTTTTTGGAGATACTCTTCAGCCTTGTCGTATTGGCCAAGCGACTTAAACACAGTACCTAGGTTTCCGTAGTCAGTTGCCTCCCCTTCTCTGTCGCCAATTTCAGTTCTGATGACAAGCGCTTTTTGGAGATACTCTTCAGCCTTGTCGTATTGGCCAAGCGACTCAAACACAGTACCTAGGTTTCCATAACATGATGCTTCCCCTTTTCTGTCGCCAATTTCAGTTCTGATGACAAGCGCTTTTTGGAGATACTCTTCAGCCTTGTCGTATTGGCCAAGCGACTCAAACACAGTACCTAGGTTTCCATAACATGATGCTTCCCTTTTCTGTCGCCAATTTCAGTTGTGATGACAAGCGCTTTTTGGAGATACTCTTCAGCCTTGTCGTATTGGCCAACGGACAGAAACACAGTACCTAGGTTTCCATAACATGATGCTTCCCCTTTTCTGTCGCCAATTTCAGTTGTGATGACAAGCGCTTTTTGGAGATACTCTTCAGCCTTGTCGTATTGGCCAAGCGACAGAAACACAGTACCTAGGTTTCCGTAGTCAGTTGCCTCCCCTTTTCTGTCGCCAATTTCAGTTCTGATGACAAGCGCTTTTTGGAGATACTCTTCAGCCTTGTCGTATTGGCCAAGCGACTTAAACACAGTACCTAGGTTTCCATAACATGATGCTTCCCTTCCTCTGTCGCCAATTTCAGTTCTGATGACAAGCGCTTTTTGGAGATACTCTTCAGCCTTGTCGTATTGGCCAAGCGACTTAAACACAGTACCTAGGTTTCCGTAGTCAGTTGCCTCCCCTCGTCTGTCGCCAATTTCAGTTGTGATGACAAGCGCTTTTTGGAGATACTCTTCAGCCTTGTCGTATTGGCCAACGGACAGAAACACAGTACCTAGGTTTCCATAACATGATGCTTCCCCTTTTCTGTCGCCAATTTCAGTTGTGATGACAAGCGCTTTTTGGAGATACTCTTCAGCCTTGTCGTATTGGCCAAGCGACCTAAACACAGTACCTAGGTTTCCGTAGTCAGTTGCCTCCCCTTCTCTGTCGCCAATTTCAGTTGTGATGACAAGCGCTTTTTGGAGATACTCTTCAGCCTTGTCGTATTGGCCAAGCGACGTAAACACAGTACCTAGGTTTCCATAACATGATGCTTCCCCTTCTCTGTGGCCAATTTCAGTTGTGATGACAAGCGCTTTTTGGAGATACTCTTCAGCCTTGTTGTATTGGCCAATCGACTCAAACAAAGTACCTAGGTTTCCATAACATGATGCCTCCCCTTCTCTGTCGCCAATTTCAGTTGTGATGACAAGCGCTTTTTGGAGATACTCTTCAGCCTTGTCGTATTGGCCAATCGACTTAAACACAGTACCTAGGTTTCCATAACATGATGCCTCCCCTTCTCTGTGGCCAATTTCAGTTGTGATGACAAGCGCTTTTTGGAGATACTCTTCAGCCTTGTTGTATTGGCCAACGGACAGAGACACAGTACCTAGGTTTCCATAACATGATGCTTCCCCTTCTCTGTCGCCAATTTCAGTTGTGATGACAAGCGCTTTTTGGAGATACTCTTCAGCTTTGTCGTATTGGCCAACGGACAGAAACACAGTACCTAGGTTTCCATAACATGTTGCTTCCCCTTTTCTGTCGCCAATTTCAGTTGTGATGACAAGCGCTCTTTGGTGATACTCTTCAGCCATGTCGTATTGGCCAAGCGACTTAAACACAGTACCTAGGTGTCGCCAATTTCAGTTGTTGACAAGCGCTTTTGGTGATAAGCCATGTCGACTTAAACACAGTACCTAGGTGTCCATAACATGATGCCTCCCCTCCTTTGTCACCAATTTTGGTTGTTATGGCAAGGGCCCTCTCAACATATTCCTTTGCTTTCAGGCTTTCGCCAAGTTTATAAAGCATAATTCCATACTCTCTGTATAAGTCAAAAAGTTTCCTCCCGTATCTTTCTGCACTTATGTAGTCAGAGATATGACGATAAGCGCTGAAAAGAATGGTATAGATGTCGCTGTAAAATTGTAGCAGTGCCGAATCAAATTGGTCTTTGCTGTTTTGATCGGTGCAAGTTAACAAAATCAAACATTCGCTGCATATCTCAATGGCTTTCTGAATGCGATCTGAGTTGAGCAATAACAGGGCAACAAGCAAAACGATGCTCATGAAAGGTGTCATGGCTTCTGCTGTTAGGTTTCCATTGCAATCCTCTCCTGTTATCAGGGAAACATTATTTTTATTAACACAATACTAAACAAAAAAAGAAAAAAAAAGAAAACGGACGGAGTGGATCGGTAATTTGCTCGAACATAACCACATCACTGGTCTTACCTTTGAAGACGTTTATCCAGTGACTGAAATATGGCAACAAGCAAATGACATCAGAGATAGGAGGTGGCTTGACTTTCAGTAATAATCAATAGTCATACTTAATAGTACTTCATATTTCTTTTGAGGAAGGGAGAGGTGGGGGATGAATTTCGGCTTTGTACGTCACACTTTTGTGACCAATGATAGAATTGAACATGTGAAAATAAATTATATCATTCTTTTTTTAACAGGAAACGTCAGGCTTCTGTGTCCATCCTTTTCAAAAAATGAAATTTCATTACAAGATCGATACCAACAGAACCAAAGCTTCTTTCTTTAAACGGTAAGCTATCTGTGAGCGATAATCAACTTTTCATGAACTGATATGGAAAACCGATCCGTAGTTTACTCCGCAGTGAATCTATTTCGGTTTTGTACGTCACATTTTTATAACTTCAAATCGACCATCTTTCGTTCCCCATACAAGTCCTTATGACGTGTTCAACTCTGGTAAGTTAACACCGAGTCACACAACGCGTGACGCTTTCATGAATTAATCGTTTGCTTTTTCTCGAGTGTGAGCTTGGGCCGCCTCTGTTGACATCAGTAAAGGACATTCTGCATGATTGATCACGTGATTGTGGGAACCATCAGTTTCTCAAACTAAACAATGCTGAACAATCTTAGTTACATTCTGGTTGAAATTTATTGTATGAAACCTTAACTGTTTTAAGAAAGCCATTTAACGGTGGAGATATGAAGCATCCGATCAACGGAAAAGTACGCCTATACTACGTATGCAGTAACATTGAATTTAAGAAATCTTAGTTTCTCTCAGAAAATTAAAACATCTCTCTTCGTGAGCGCGCAGCGTCATGACTTATCTTCTTATGCGAGGCTCTAGCGCTTAAGCAGACAAAAAAAACAGATTACGGCGTTTAGAAAAATATGTACCGTAGAACCCGACGCTAGTATCTAAAAATTTAAGTGAATGGTGTCTCGACCATGAAACGTTTGTGTACAAGTAGAAAACGGAAATTCAATTGGAATCTACCGCGATCTCTGAATCGATCGTTAAACTCTCCTAAAAAAGTGTCAAGTTAATAGCCAGTGCAGATCATAGCCTCTGGAAAACCACGTAATGAAGCACTACGCATTTCCTATGATGTCAGCGTGGGAGAGTCTAGTTTTATGATCGTCAATTTCTCAAATTGAACGATACTCAATAACCTTGTTTTAGTTAATGAGGATAAATTATACGGTATAAAGCCACAGAGATTTAAAAAATTCGCCGTAGAATCAATTTATTTCACTGTGGTGACGATTCAATCGCGCCATCAACCGCTTTAACGAAGGGCTAACACTCGAAACGTAACATATTGCAAACATAAAGATCAGGTACTGGATAAAGTAAATAATAAAGGGATAAAGTAGGTACTGGGCTTTGCCATAAGAGCCTTACCTCTCTACAGTTACTAAATGACTAAGGCTGATAAAAACCGAGTGACTAGAAAAGATTTTCAATCGCACTTACCAAGATGTTGACAATGTGGCTGATGCTTTCAAAATGAAACAACAAAAATAACGAATTACTTTTCCCAACCTTCCGAACTTCCGCTGTCACAGTGTTTAATGCATCCAGATCACGTGTGTTCAGGATATTCCCTTCCCCCTCGGGGCTAATCGAAATAAAAGGAAAAGTTTTAAATTGCATATTTTTTTGTGTGCCTGTATGCCCGTCTATCGCATCCCATTTAGGTTAAAGATTTTTAACAGTTAGTGGTCATATGATAAAATGCTTATTGACAGAATTTGGTGGGACCAGTGGGGAAAATATTTAGCTCAGGGTCATGAAGAAAGGACCTCGCTGCACCCCTACCACTCCATCAATAAGTACACAGTATTTCGGTTTCGTACGTCACACTTTTATCGGTCATGATGTAATTGAACATGGAAAATGAAAAGTGTTATTCTTTTTCCAACAGGAAATGTCAGGCTTACCCCTTTGAGAGGTTTGATTTTCATCACAAGATCAATCACAGTACAACCTAAGTCTCTTCTTTTTAACGCTAAGCTATCTTTGCGTGATAATGGACTCATTGTCTTCGTGAACTTTTCATTTTCTAGCGGGTGTGATTTGCATGATCGAAGCCAAAACTACTAAAAAAAAACCAAGTGACTGTAATTCGGTTTTGCAAGTCACACTTTTATAACTAATGATGGTTATAAGATAATTGAGATAGTTCGCACGCTCTCATAGGCCAACTAGTTAGTTTAGATGAGAGTATGTAAACACAGCTTGTTTGGACGTCACACTTTCAATGTTTGCCGGCGCAATTTGAAAACATTTCAAACTCAAAGTTTTCCCAATACTCGCACAGTAATCTCAAGTGTAAGTGATAAATATTGGAATTGGAGGAGTATGTGCTAATTTTTGATCTAGGGTTTGGCTTCCATCCCTTCCCCAGTGAGGAACAAGAAGAGGGAAAAAGAGGAACTAGCACTCTTTTGCCTGCCTTGATGACCATGAACTGTGTGGCCTAGTCGAGGGAGTTCAAGTAAAGACGACAAATATGCAACAAAATGCGCAGAAAACATCGAAATGTAAGGAAACAAGGAAAAATTCTGGAAAAAAAACATTTTGTTCTACGCACCCTACTTTCAAAGAAACACTTGGAAAACTGTATATCACTGAAAAGCTTATAAAGTGTTGAAGAAAGTTTTAAAAGTTTGTTTTTTTCCCCAGCAAATTTAATTTCAATGTTTTCTCTAAACAAAGAGTAAATGAAATGGAAGTTTGAAATTTGACCAGATCTTGTTGACAGTAACCTCAAATCAAAACTCACAAATCACGGCAGTAACAAAACAGTTTTTGTGTGGGATTTCCCGCACTTTGTCAAGGCCCGCGAAATTTATTTATTTATTTATTTATTTGTCCACGAGAGAGAGAGAAGTGCTTGTCACGTGGTTTCTATTTGCGTTCAGTGAGCCGTGAAGACTGGATTCCAGTCGGCGTTTTTTCATAGTGTATTGTACGGCGGCCATTTCTCTTCTCAGTCGTTGGGTTTTTGGAGAACTTATTCGGAATTTCATGTTTGTTTCTTGGGGATTTTTGTTTCCAAGGTAAGGATAAGTCATTTCATATTTTCACGGGTTCTTTGCGTGCTTTAACTTTTCAATTTTGTTGTGGGAGCTTCACGATTAAGCTCTCACGAAAGGCGATTACGTTTGTACACCTGGTTTGTGTTCTTTCTTTCATAATCTGAGGCGTTTGTTTCGTTATTTCTTCAGGTGTCTATAACAGAAGATTTTTTCATGTAAGCCAACACGCTGAAACGCGGCTTGTGTTCAGTGCAGGTTGCACAGGAGCTTTTACGCTTTCACAAGCCAACATTTATCGGCTTGGACCTTCGGTGCCGGTTGTGCCAGATTGAAAGGAGTCATTGTACTCTCGCAAGCCAACATTTGTCGGCTTGAATGTATTTGTGCGGGTTGCGCTTCAAAGAGTCTCAGGGTGTCTCAAAGTGTCTCACGAGTGTCTCAAAATGTCTCACGAGTGTCTCAAAGTGTCACAAACTGAAAGAAACTATTGTTTGCCTTGAACTGTCAAGAGTGTTATCTATTTTAATAAACTGAGTTTCTAGTTAGTTGGATTGTTGTTGTTGCTCGCTCAAGCACACAAGTAAATATGGGGATCTCCATTGACCAATTCCGTTCTAGGATTGGATCTCATGAAGATTTACATCCTGATTTTAGTGAAAACTATGACCTCTCTGATGATCTCAACATTCCATCAACATCGTTGAATAATGAACCACTGATATTGAATGAATTACCTGATTTCGATTTTCGTCAAATGGTCCAGACACCCGATAAAGAGCAAAAAGGAATTTTTTATCACATTTTACAACAGATTAAAACCTCAGAAACCCCTTTCTACTGCTTCCTCAGTGGAGGGGCTGGTGTTGGCAAATTGCATTTAACAAAAGCTTTGTATCAGGCAATGCTTAAGTAGTATAACACTTGAGCTGGTGATGATTTTCATCAGATCAAAGTTATACTATTAGCTCCAACTGGTAAAGCTTAAGGGTAACACTCTTCATAGCACTCTGGCCATTCCTGCCAATCAATCACTGAGAAATTACAAACAGCTTGATTCAAGTAGACTAAACACTTTTAGAAGTCAATTGATTTTTGTTGCTGAAATCTCAATGGTAGGAAATGGTATGTTTGGAATACAGCTAAACAGTAGGCTTAAAGATATAAAAGGCTGTAGAGAGGATTTTGGCAGTGTGAGCATAATTGCTATTGGTGACTTATTCCAATTAGAATCTTTTATGGATGCTTATATTTTCAAAGACCTCAAAAATGTAGATTTATGCTGTTCTTTCTCCCAGTTTATGACATAAACACTTTAAAATGTTTGAACTTAATGAAATCATGGGTCAAAGAGACAGCAAATTGTTTGTAGAATTACTTAATAGGTTGCGTAAAGGTAAACACACAGTAGCTGATATTGCAAAACTTAAAGAGAGCTATACAAGAAGACATCAACAACCCAATAGATGTACCTCACTTATTTATACAGAATGCTAAAGTAGATGAATTTAAACAAAGGGCCCATAATGCAGCCACAGGAAACAAATTCACAAAAAATGCTCAAGATAGTGTTATTGGAGCTATCTTTCCAGAGCTAAGAAACAAAATACTAAGACAAATACCCAATGATCCAAGAAAAACAAAACAGTTAGCCTCAACCCTTTGTCTTGCTGAGGGTGAAAGAACACACCTTGTCATGAATGTATAAACTGAAGATGGCATGACAAATGGTGCTGGAAATGTTGTTAAACTAGTTCAGTTACATCAACAAACCAAACCATCTGGTATTGTATGGGTACAATTTGACCACTCAGATGTAGGTCAGAAAACAAGGAATGAAAAAAGACATTTGTATGTACAAGGAATTGAACACACATGGACCCCAGT